TTGCGGTGACCTAATCCTAACGTACCGTATTTTGACTGGAAAGGTTAGCCCAGAGTTGTTCCGACTATTTAGTCCCGCCAGATTATCATGTCACCGCGTTCATTGTGCGAAGCTGGATAAACCGCCGTCCGATGGAGTTAGAGCGGAGACACGGTAATTCCGTCTATTAATCGAGCGCTAGAACTCGCTTTCAGAAGTATTGCCAGGAAAGCTACGTTTAAGAGATTTGCGTGTCAACTAGATGCACTTGAGTGGCAACAGGACACCTTTCGTATTTTCCTGACTAAAGCCTATCTGCTTTTCTGTACTTTCCCTCTACGTTGGTATTATCTCTGCCTTCCACTGATTTCCTTTACAAAATACCTTCGAGTTTATTCCTCGCTCATTTACTTCACGCAACCGGCCTAGCAGAGACTGCTAATTTCCAGGAACCTGGGCATTAAATGAATGGACTGGGGGAATATTTGTTTGTTTTCCTTTTACATCAGTTAAGTAGCTGGTGCACCTAGCAACGCTTGGATCTAGACCCTGCTCAAGAAGGAAGACTTCCGTTATGCACCCCATCGTTCCAATCCCATCTGAACATGAGATTTAACTTATGAATTGTATTATTCATCCAGTCCGTGATTTCAAGTTCTTCCGTGTCAAAATAATACGACGGTCCGTAATAACCTCTTAGAGCTGCAGCACAAACTAACTACTTCGTAGACAGCTGGATTCTCAATTGACTAGCAATAAGCCGACGTAAGGGGATTAGCTAGGAAAGCAAAGGAGTGGGAAGGAACTGGTGCCCGGGAGGAATAAAACGGTAAGGTTAAGAGGAAACATCACTGGTCGACCTCTCATTTGATAGCGTGCTACCGTGACGAAGGCTGACAAGCTACAGGACCACTAGAAGGTCGCTCAAGGGCCTGCTACAATTTCGAACGAACACGCATTAAAACGCATGGATTAGGTATATAATTTGTCCTTACCGGCGTGCAAGTAAGCTGTGCGTTGGGTCACACACCTTATGAATAAGTTAATAAGAAGCGCCATTCATTCCGCAACAGGAATTTGTAGATGAGGCACGATAGCCAATTGAAAAAGCACGAGTTTCGTGCCACTGTGCCAGATGGGGCAGCAGATATATAAAACCATGAGATCATTGGATCAATGGAATGCAGCGAGCAGAAGGAAGAACCCTAGTCAATGCTAACCATAACAGGTTGTTGCGTAACAGGAATCAACAAGTTAGGTTGTCGCAGTTGCATAAGCATCAAGGTCCCTGCAAATGCAGTAAGTATACATAAAACACTCGCTTAGTACATCACTCAGTATGCGCGTTGATGACGGAGTCAGGCGAGGAGTTCCAGTCGCTCACAACACTGGTCAATATGGCAATATCAGAGCGAAACGTAAGTCTCTTAGGTTTAAACTGTTTCCAGCAGTTTCCCCAGGTCGAACACTCAGTGTTACTCTGGACAAGCCCTGCTGCTTGGTTCCCTGCTCACTTCTCAGAATGCGCTGTTCGTAGATCAGGTCATCTCGGCAATGCAGATACGACAGAGATAAAATTTTCAAGTGCTGGAGACGAATGTGGTATGGTAGATGTCATGGCTTAACGATGCACTTAAAACCCCGGTGCTGAACTTTCACATTCAAGGCGTGTTCAAACTTTGTAAGCGGTTGAACTGCGGTTAATCCAGGTTCGAGGTTTGGACGCACTTGGGAGGTACCCACAAGGCTGGAAACCTCCGGAGTTCATAGTGAGATCTCTGCGGATAGAGTCCAGTAATCATTTGCCCGCGGTAACGGTCCTCAAAATATCCTGGGTCTTGTTTACATCAAAGGATACAATAACCCTTAGGTCTCATTTCTGTTTCGCACTATTAAGCAAATAACCGCCAAGGTGGTAAATACCGGTTGGTTCAGTGGCGCCAATGAAGCGTACAGAACATTTATCGCGACGTAAAAGCAACTGCCATATAACTGACCAATCGTGTAGCTGCCTATGCGTATATTGAATTCAAGCAGCATTCTCAACTCTGGATAACTCCATCCATCGCTTCAAATCATCAGCATTGCTCAAAGATTCAGTCATGCGAGTAGAAGAAAGGTCGTTAATAAAGCATTTGAAAAATTTTGATCCTAACACATTGCACTGAGGGATGCCACGGCCTACAAGGACGAGGACTGAATACGTATCGTTGACCTTAACTCGCGTAACTCGGTCTGAAAAGAAATCAGTAATCCACAGCAGAACCCTCCCAGAAACGCCAATTCCTTGAAGTTAGAACAAAAGCCGCTGATGAGGAACTTTATCAAACACTACGGAAATTAACCTAGATGACGTCAGTGCGTTCGCCCGCATGTAGTGAGTTCGCCCATTTCTCTCTGACAACAGGCAAATGGTCGCTGCATGAGCAGGAATGACAGAAGCCATGCTGAGCAGTCGAAATCACACCACGGTCGTCGTAGTGAAGACTGAGAGCTCGCTTGAGAATCCGTTCCATACATTTCCACATTATTGGCGTTAGGCAAACGGGACGATAGTTCCCTATGTCTTAGAGATTCCCTCCCTTAAATATGCGCTTGATAATGCCCAGGTTCCAGGCTGATGAAATTCGTCCGGATTCAATAGAGCAACGAATCACATGATAAGCTGGGGTCTTATGAAACTGAGGACGCCAGCCATCAAGCCTAGGCGATGTGTTCGGATCAAACTAGGGAAGGAACTTCATAAGAGTTTCCGTACTGATCTCAAGCTGATGCAGCAAAAATAAACAAGAAAGCGCGACGTCTGCAAACAGTCAGTTGTATGAACGGAGGAATACAGTTGCTTAAAGAGGTTCTATGGTGACTGACAGAGAGTTATAACCGCTGCGGATAGGACCTTAGCACGATTGCTCACGGTCAGGTTACAAAAGGTGAAAATTAGCAAACCTGTCCGATGACACGAACGGAGGAATAGAACGCTGATCGTAGATAGAGATCCAACAACCGATGCGAAGCACACACAACACTCGAAGGCGGCACGACGTCACCGACCCCAGAAGACGAACGAAATTCGAAGAAGATATAGCTTGTTGTGAGTTAAAACAACTATACAAAAATTGACGGAAGATAAAATAGGAAGTTACAAGGAAAAACGTGAAGAATTTACAAACACTACGGTTCGTTTTCGCAGCATCTTCATGCAGTAAGACGGTGTTTACTGAAATACTTAGATGGAATGTCATTACTACATTTGTTGCCCCGGTTCAGATAAGGGAAGGACGTAAGGGGGGAGCAGCTGGCCCGCGCAGCTAATTGAAGCTCGTAGTTTGGCAATTCTTCCGCTACTTCAGGTTACATAGGTTCCTAAGCATTTTGTTTTCCGAGTAGTCGGGCATTGCTTGCGTACCCTAGCATTGGTCCCATAAGTTGAGGCCTTTGTTCTTCATCGACCTCTACTGTTTATCCCTCCAAGGAGGAACTTTCGTTGGACCTCTTTTTAGAAATTGGAACAACCTGACCGATCAGCGACACCAGTTTGTAGTAAAGGTGAGTCCAAGCAACGTCAACACTCGAAAATGGTTAATGGTCCAGTACATTTTGGAAGCAACCTCCTGTAGCGCTGCGGGTTGGCTCGCCAGAAATTACGCCGGAAGTTACCTTGATCAAAAATGGAAACTTGTTGGGCTCATTGGAAGGAAATAGCCCAGTGATCACGCTTACGAACAGATTGCATAACAACCATGTTGGTGACCTCTGACGACAGCCAGGTTTCGGTGAAATCTATTAGGTCCGGCTGCTGTTCAGACATAAGGAGTGGAATCGCAGCAAGTGTATTTCTGAGGCAGCGCACGTTCGCGAGTATTACTCGTAACCGGTTCTTTATGTTTAAGGTCCGGGGAGAAGGATTCCTGGCCTCTAGCAAGGTCTGTGAACTTTACTTGCTACGCGAAAATCCACAACGTGTACTCGCTTCGGCAGTACATACACTAAAATTGTTAAGGTACAGAAAGGATTAGCATGGCTCATGCGCAAGAAAGACACGAAAAATCGTGAAGTGTTATTAATTTTTTACTCGTCTTAAGCCAAGGCATCGAAGGTCTGGACTAGATATCAGGGAGAAATACTTCGCGAACCGCCTTGTCGGCAGCCGGAACAAGCCTCCCTTTCTTTGATGAACTGTGCAACGATAGGTTAGGGAACCTACGGCTAAGGGTTCTGCGCGCCAGCTCAATGCTCTTGGATGGCAACAGCAAACTGTTCCTATTTCCTAGCTGACTCACCTTCACTTTTCATTTCTTTTGTAATGACTCAAATATCTTGGTATTCCACTAGCTTAGCTCTTTCCACTTTCTCTTTTGCCTTCTGAGTTTACTTTTTTCTCTTTCTTACTTCACGTAACCGGCCTGGCAGAGACTGCTAGGGCAGGATACGTGGGCATTAATTGGTTGGACAGGGTGTGCTGCGGTCTTTGTTTTAGGTCCATCAGTATTTCAAAGTTCGCTAACTCCTGGTTCAACGACCCGCCGAAGAAGGAACACTCACGGGATAATCTTATCGTTCCAGTCCCGCTTGAAATTGAACTTGACACCTTAAGTGAGGTCTAGACAGATGTTGGTTAGAACATTTTCAGGTATATTGTAAACTTATTGATGCTCCTTGCTGAGTGCTCATGAAAGATGAACGTGCAACACAGCTTCTTTTTGCTTCGTTTTCTTTGCAGAAGCAAGCAGTACGATTGGAAGTCGAAGTACCGGAGGCCCTTGGTTGCTTGCCGGTGCTAGAAGCAGGACGCGCTTTGGCGAAGTCTATACCGTTCTGGGAAACTCACCTGACCTGATCTCTTTCCCCAATTCCTCGCCAGTTTCGCACCTCGCAGAGAAAACCAAGGCGAAGTGGCGAGGGCACTGGTTCGCTTACTGGTACAAGGAGCAGAACGGTCGTACACCGGAATTGTATGTCGTCCTTGAAATTCGCTCTGACCTGGCTATACGCAGTCGCATTTTTCTACCGATCGGTGACGCGTTCCCCCTGTTGTCATCGTATCCCTTGCTCGCGCGCGATGGCCCTAGATGCCAATGGCAATGAACTGGGGTATGTTTGTTTGTGTTACTTATTTCTCCTTCCAGCAAGTTGTTTGTGGGTGGCTTACACCAGTCAACTACCAATGGTGAGCTCAGTCCGTTTATTTGAGCCCCACAGACTCACTGAAGGCATATTTTTCGCTTTATGGTGACATTGAAGAGTCCGTGGTGATGATGGACAATCGGACAGGCCGATCACGCGGTTTCGGGTATATAAAGTTTAGAGAGAATTCAGCGGTGGATTCGGTGCTTGCCCAAAAGCCACATATAGTGGATCATAAGGAAGTAGACCCCAAGCGTTGCAACGTGAACATGAAAGGAAAGGTAAATCTCACTTTGACATCGGTACTGTCGAACAGAACCGCCGTAGCTTGAAGGTGTTTGTCGGGGGAGTCGCGTTCGAGCACGACGAGTCCACTATCCGAAACTTTTTCTCTAACTACGGGAGGGTATGTTAGATACGCTGGTCATCTTCCGTCTTCAGGTCACTGATGTTAATCTACTCACCTCTCCAAATAAACAGCGCCATCGTGGTACGTTTAGTTACTATTGTGTGTTCCGGTCATTTCTGCTAGGTGTGACTTTAACCTGACCAAACTAACTGGCACGTTTCTTATCCTCATATTGCAATCTGACACTTCGCGAATTGCCCGCACAACTCTCTGCACACCATATTATCCCACTTTTTGCAAGAGAGGAAAGCAGCCTTTCTTTTGTGTGGACTGCTTAGTAACTTGCATTTCCTACTTGGCCTTCAGATCTCGCCACTTTTTCGACACAAGACGATTCAGGTTTCGGACCTTTGGACCCTACACCCCTGGCCGCTAGTTGCTGTTTGCTCTATGTGGTTGTCATCTTAATTTACTAGATGTAATACCAGTACGCATAATGATCTCAGCACCCTGCCTGTCTTCTGCCACTACCAAACTTGTCATCAATCGGCTGCACTTTCTGCATGCGACTGACAGTGCAAACTGGTTACTCCTCATTCAGCTTAAGTGTCACGCTGGAGTTGCCGAAACGAATGGAGCACGGTAACAAAAACACACCAACACTTCAGGTGATGCTTCGCTGTCATGTGCTTGCCGACTGAGATGCTGTCAGCCAAAATCTAGTTTGAGACTTAACGCTGTGGCACGAAAGTTGCATGACGGATTACCGTTGAAACAGGAATTCTTATCACCTGTTCGATTGATTCTGTTCGAAATACTTGCGCGGAAAGGTGTTTCCACGAAATGTGTACATCTTGCGTGCTCTATAATCGAACACTACAGGCCGCGTCAGAGTCTACGGTGGCCTATCGGATAGCTTTCCGACCACAAGTGGCTTTCCTCGGGATTGTTCGCTTTCCACATGTTTGTTGTATTTCGTCGCGGATTCTAACATGGAGTGTTCCCTTGCGAAATCTCACGATGTAGGCGTTGAAGTGCTGCCTGGTGAAAGATTAATTGTTCTTGATTATACGGACGATATCCTCTTAGTTTTCGACGATGTTGCGGCGGTACAATCAATCCTGAATAGCCTGTCTACAGTGGTCCATTACTCAGTATGCGCTTCGCACCTTCAAAGTGCAAAGTGTTGTTGCACAACCACCAGCCACTTTATGACCTTTTGCTAACGAGGAACTCGAAGTGGTTGATCAATTCACTTGCTTTGACAGCTGCATCAGCAACGATGAGCGCACAAAAACTGGAGTCAGTTCACGCACTGCAAAGGCCATAACTGCCTTCTTCAAACTGCGGCATCTTTGACGACAGAAGGGAGTTTCCCTCCGTCTAACACGCCTGTATAGAAGGTCACAGTGAGGGCCGTTCTGCTCTATGATAGTGGAACTTAGTCCCTTCGGTCTGAAGATCTGAGGCGCCTTCAAGTCTTAGGTAAGCGTTGTCTGCGAAACATTGCTGATGTCGGATGGTACCAGCGTGTCCGCAACGATGATGTACGTAGGTGAGTACTAGGTAGTTATAATTATGCTAGTTTTCTAGAAACACCTATAGCACTAAATAACTTGCGTTGGCTCGGGCACGTGCTGCGTATGCCTGGTCACCTACTTAGGAGCGCCTTGTTTAGTCTACCAGGTGTAGGGTGGCGCAAGGCTCGTGGTGGACAGAAGTTGACTTGGCAGCGGGAAATGAAATCACGGACGACCAAACCGGGTACCGTTGGTTCGTCTCGCCTTCCGGGCTGGAGTCCACGTGACTCGCTTTGTGATTGGCCCGAGACTTTGCAGGACATGGCTCGCAGTCGGCACCACTGACGCGTCTGTTGCCGTCCTAATCGGATTGTCTGTTTAAAGTGTGTTTGGTGCTGAGTTATCTGCGGAGTAATATCTGATTATGAAGCGGGGCAGTTAAAACCCCAATGAAGCTGTCTTGCCGATGCCGCCTTTGCATGATAGCCAGCTGTTTGTGACGGTATGTTGTCTACACAAGGTGTAGTCGCTTTGTCCCTGAATGTTCGCTTAAGGCATTAAGATTTTCAGGTAACTCCCCCTTCTCTCCCTCTATTCTTTCTTCCATACGTCATCGTGGTTGTATGGCAGCGAAGCATCCGTTCAAACTGCTGATTTACTGTTGATGATGTGCTTATATATGCTGATCCTACGCTCACAACAACTTCTTCGATGATACGCCGGTCCATTTGACAGGCTCTAATCCGGGACGCGGTTTCAATCCTAATGGTAACGAGCTTGTCTTATAATCTGACGACTCGGCTTCGAGCCTGTGGAGTGACAGGACGACTCGTAGTATCCTTCGCGGACGTGCGACCGGTGGTGGTTGCGTGGCAGCGAAGCGTCGTTCAACGGTCGATGGATGTATTCTGTTAGAGATATTTGTGCGGAAAGGTGTTCGCATGAAATATATGGACATTTTGCCTACCATGTACTCGAACACTACAGGCCGCATTGGGGTCTACGGTGACTAGCGAGCAACTGACGTTTGTCAGGATTTTCAATTACCCCACTTTTGTTTGACTACATCGTGGAGTGTTCCATTGTGGAATCACACGACGCAGGCATTTAATTGCTTCCTGTTGATCTTAATTTGGGGACCATGTTGCCTTGCTTTTTAGCATTGTTGGGGTGGCCCAACCAATCCTGTATAACCTCTCCAGTGATCCCATCATTTGGCATGTCTGGCACTTTCAAGGTGCAAGTCTTGTTGCAAAACCACCGGCCACTTGATGACCTCTTGAACTTGTGGAACTCGAGGTAGTTGATCAGCAGCGATGGGTGCATAACCACTTAAGTCAGTTCACGTATTGTAAAGGCTAGAACTGCCTCCATGAATGTGCGACATCTGTGGCGTAAGAAAAAGGTTTCTCTCAGTCTGAAATGCTGGGTTCACAAAATCACGGCGAGAACCGTCCTATTCTATGGTAGTGAGGTTTGTCATCTTCGGTCTGAGGACTTTCGGCGCCTTCAAGTCTTTGCTCATCGTTGTCTGTGTCGCATTGCTGTTGTCCGACGGCACCGGCTTGTTCGCAGTGATGGTGTCCATAGGAGAGTGCCAGGCGTGGTTTATCGGATTATTTCCTTAGGACAACAGATAACTGAATAAGTTCTGTTGGCTTTGCCATCGCAATGAGGCTAGACCTTACCGTGATGCGATGGTTTACGTGCTTCAGAGATCCATTGAACTATGCTGGGTGGTGCTTTTTTGCACCTTCAGAGCTCTCTACACCTGGTCCTCCAGGTCGGGGATTGAAGTAAAGATGACTCCTTATTCCTTACAACGGACTCCTTATAGCCCAAAGCCAAACCCACTGTCTTGCGATCAGCTTTTTGAACCAAAGGCTGGTTGAGAACCCTAATCGTTCTTCTATCTAGGCCTGGGAAACCTGACAGTATCTTGCCCACGCAATACTGTGAATTTTTCAGCGAACAATTTCCTGATGCTCTGGCCACCGCAAAGGATAATCAACGGTGCCCTATCTGCTGCATCGAGCAGGGTGGATAAGAATTTGGATGCTACTGCTCAAACCTGCCAATCTTCTTATTCACCCTTTTACGCTTTTTCACTCTTACCGTCCCGTTCCAGCTACAATTTTATCCCCCTGTTTTCAACCAAAAATTCTTGGCCCTCCTCCACCTTGCTTTGAGAAGCAGTTATATTTTTGTTTCAACTCACATGTGAACGCGGGGCGTCATTCCTGCCATGTCGACAAGTCCATGCCCAAGAAAGCGTTCAATTCCAGTTCATCGGATTCTATTTGGAGCCCTTGATCATCCTTCAGCTTGGCATGCCCCAATGTACGCACATCGCTACAGCTCGGTCAACTAGTAACATTTGCCCCAACATTAGAGACTCTCTCGATCGATATCTGCTGCTTATCTGAGACCTGCCTGCAAGACTCGAGCTCAGTGCTCACTTGGTGATCCCCTTCAGGTGACACTGGCAGCACTTTCTCATTCCGCCTAGCCGGTGACGATGCAGCTTCGAGCATCGTCCAGGTCGATGTTGGTATTGCCTTGAGTCCCCGGGCTGCAACTGCTCTGGTTGATTGGATCCCAATCAGTACCCGGGTGTGTGCGGTCCGATTGGCTGACTCGTTCAAAGATTCGAAGCCGCAGGTGACTAACAGATGTCTATTCGTCATCGCTGCCTATGCACCCACAAACTCTAGCGATGATTCGGTAAAAGGCGATCTCTATCCCCAACTGAACGAGCTCCTTCGCCACAGAAGCTCGGATACTGTTGTGCTATCTGGGGATCTGAACGCTCAAGTTAAAAATTATCCACTGCTGAACTGCATCTGGGTGGCCAACATGGTGTAGGCTCCCGTAATGATAACGGTGAGCGGTTACTTCATTTGTGTGAGGATGCTCGCTTATTTCTTGCGAGCACTAAATTCAGACACAGCACCCGCCGGAGGGTGACTTGGCGTCCACCAGCCTTGGACGCAAATCGATCGCATTGCGATAAGTTACCGATGGAGAGACTGCGTCCGCAACTGTCGCTTGATTTGGAGCACTTGTGTGGACACCGACCATGTACTTGGATGTGCTGACCTGCGGATGCCTTTTGGCGGACGCCTACGACGACGCTGTGAGCGCATTGACACTAGCCAACTGGCGAAGCCAGCCTATCACAGTACGCTGTCATGCGAGTTGAATATGCGCTCACTGGATGCAATTGAAGCTCATTGGTCTCATGTTCACCAGACCTTACGAGCAGCGGGAAAATCCTCATGTGGTAAGTCTAATCGCCAATATGGACATTGGGTCCGTTCGCTCGCCTGCACATTCTGGCTGGAAGCGAACACATTGAGACTCGCAGAAAAATCCGGGCAAAACTCCGTGCTAGCCTGAAATAAGACCGCGAATCCTGGTGGTCTCATCTTGCTTCAGAGATGGAAATGGCCGCTGCTCTTGGTGACTATCATAAGTTCTTCCGTCTGATACGGGAAACGGGCTGCAGGGGACCTGGTGTTAGTGAAACTATACTTTGAGCGTGGACAGATTATCCACAATTTGTCAAAACGCTTGGAGCCTTGGGCTGAGCACTTTGAAAGGCAATTCAGTCGATCGGAA